GCTTTACCAACAAATAATAGATTTAAATAGTGTAATTGCTGATGAATATGATCTTTTTAAGTAGGATGACCCAATTGCTTTTAGTGTCATTAATCAACATATATGCTATGTACAAGTGAAGCTTGAAATTGGCGGAATGAAGAGAACAATGCTCTGCTGTTTCTGAGGGTCAGCTAATGACAACCTCCTAACAGCCCCCAAACCTAATGCTGGGAAACCAGGAAGAAAAAAAAAACTGATTTCACATACTGGAGATCATCCATGCAAAAAGTGCGTCATATACATTCACCTGATGACATTTACGGAAATGGGAATAAGAACGAATAGATTTTGATTATGTTGTTAGCCTATATTTGAAGAGGAATAAAGAATAAAACGTTTGGCGTTTCCACAGCTCGATCCACATTTAGTTTAGGCTACATTAAAATCGTAGATATCGCTTGTTTTCGCTAAATAATTATTCCGGATATTTTTTTTCTGAGCTTTAAAAATCTTCCCGAAACTAAAAGTATTTTCTTTGCGTTAATTAAAAGTGTTGCATATATAGCTGTTGCTGCTACCAACAAAAAAACAAGTAGTTTTAATCCATGCAAATGTTCTAAATCCGAACGAACGAAAATCGCTAGTTCTTATAACATATGCAATTTTGATGAGGCACGCACAAATGAGTCAAAATTGGTTTAAATTTTTATTTCAATGCATTTTAACAAACACTTTCCTCCAGCTTAATATTAGTGCAGTGTCCCCATCCCCCGTCTACCCAGTGTATGGGACTCAGTGGTGCATTAAAGGGATCCGCATTGCTGTGACTGATCTGCTGTATAAAAGCACAGATTGTTCCTCGCGTGGGATGAAATACTCGCACCTCAGCTTTGCATATGGTCAAACTTGTTGCCCCGCATAATGATACAGGACAGAAACACACGGACTGGTGTCATCTGTTGCACACTGACACATGCCATCAGCTTGAATAGATTGATCTGAACTGTTCGATCCGTTATCGGCATAAAAAAACGCGCGTAAACTATAGGCTAAATTATAACCGAGCGAATTTTTGAATTTGAATCTTTGAAATCGTGCATGAAAATCAAGGCAATGACAAATCAGAACAACATGTCCAAATGCACACACAATGAAAGATTTTCATTGTCTAGCCTTATAAAAACACGTATGATGACAAAACTCAATTTTCTAACTCCAAAGATCTCTCCACCATGAGGCTGGATTGTTCCGCAAATCATTATCTCTTTAATAATAAAGAGATGATGATTTACATTGATGCCGAGAAAAAGCACCAATTATCCTGTCATTAATCACGTGTGCATTTGTAACAAAACAAATAGTTTATGTTCAAGACCGCATCAAAATCATTTTCAGGTTTGACAAATGTAGCGAATCAAAGCTGCTGATGTATAAACACGCACCAGACAATACAAACAATTAAATATATCAACATATAATTGCATGCAGACAATACAAAAAAAGGTGTGTGCACTTTAGTGTCTTTGAACAGAATGTTATGGGATAAACAGGGTTCTTGAGGAAAAAGTCTTATTAGCATTTGCAAACAAGAAGGCTCTTACTAAAATGTAACTTTGCACAACAAAGAGTCTGGCAGTTAAAAAAAAAAGGACTGGCATGCGTGAATATGATGACAAGCAGTTGTCGGAAGTTGAATTGGAGTTGAGTGCCAAGTCTTCAGCAGGATCATGGGTAAAATTATGACAGAATACACAGTGGTATTAAACAACGGGTTACGCGAGCGTAAACAAACGATCGCTTTCTAAAATAAACCTTCTTTAGTGATGTCTCAAATGCTTCCATTAATATTAACGAACATCAACACAAGCAAGCAATGGCATCTGCTTTCATACGGGTCATATAAACGCACTTGTTGGATTCATGAAAATAAATGAAATGCTTCAAAATAATAATAATGCGCCGCGGTATTTTGTCCCGGTTCGGTTCGGTTCGGGTGGCGGCGCGAGACTGCTGTGGTGCTGGCTGACAGTGTGTGGTCTCATTGAGACCCCCATCCCCCTGTTTCCCTGCACCTGCACTGGATCATTCACCCAATGAGAGACATCTCTGACAGTCCTCAATTCAGCCCAGTCCCCCTCCATCACTGCCCCCCTCCCGCAAACACGGCCACAAGAAACAACTTATTACTTTCTCCAAATAGTTTGCGCCTTTCTCCACCCATTCACTCTCAGCACCAACACACAACACATTACAGACACAAAGACACACGCTATCGATGTTTACAATCTAAGTCATTTATGCATGTGATGCATTACAGTATTCAAATAATGAGAATAACCAACCGTCGTGAGATAGTGTTGGAATAACCTAAAAATAACCGATTAATAATTATTTGCTATCGCAACAATAATAACAGGCATATTAACAACCACAACAATGTATGATGATTAAAAGCCGACATTTTAATAAAATTAATAAATGATTAGGCCTAATGAACTATATGATTATACTGCATGGTTATACTGTTATTATACCGATTAACCAACAATAGCTATTATTAATAATATAACCACAATCTATATGTATTCACAGTACTATACCGAAAAACAAACATATTTATCATAACGTTTTATCTTCTGTCAAATCTAATGTGGTTCAGATAACCTCATATTTTGAGTTTCTATTCATTAAACCTTTGTTGTATTAACTCAATGAACTCAAAATGTTAAAGCAACCAAGTAACTTACTTTTTTAAGTTAAAGCAACGATATGTTTTTTGAGGTTTATTCTTTGGCTTTTCCCATTGGTCAATCAGCCACATAAATGTAATCCCCTATTCAGCTTATATTTGCTCATATTATAATGAACTTGGCATCGTCAAGGCTTGTTTTGCCGAGACAAAACATCACAAATTACATTTGAAGCGATGAGTTCGTTTGGTGCTCAATTAGGCCTAAATCCGTAAGTATTTTCAAAAATAGTCTGTCACCTGAGTCAAATCTTTAAAAAGCTCAGACTGAAGATGTTCCCGTGGACAGGTTTCTCAGAGATGAGAGTTTTGAGGAAAGTCCTCGGGCGCGCGCTTCCCACCTGTTGCTCAGATATCGTCTATCTGCTTCTCCACAACAGCAGTTTCCCATCATCCCATGTAATATTCCTACGAGCGATTTCAACAAAAGCACTTTCTAATGAATTTTCCTAATATAACAATAAAATCACACACACATGTGACAGCTAAAGCAACTATTTTCAAGCTATTATTATTAAACAGAATCCACCACGCATTCCCAACACAACTACAAAAATCAGATGCCATTATTTATTCGTCTCATTACTCTAAAAAAATGCTGGGTTGTTTTAACCCAATTTTGGGTCAAATATGGACAAACCCGTTACATTTTTAAATTACATTTTGTTTGAATTCGTACATATTTGACCGAAAAGTGGGTTAAAACGACCCAGCATTTTTTACAGTGTACATGTCTCAATACCGCTGCGGTTCATGCATTGTTTTTCCTAAACGCATTGTTTTTCCATAAGTGTATGTGTCTATCATCAAAATACAATCTTAAAAGATATTTTAATCAGTATTTTTCAGCTGTCAATCTGTGGTTACAAATATCGGTTCTTCAATAGTACTTCCATCGTTAAACTGCATTTTTTTCTTTTTGTTTAGGATACACAATAACCCTGTTTTGAAGGTAGGCCTAATGAACCTTAAATCTCAACATTTCAGTAAAAGCAGTTTCTATCCACACTGAACCTTTAGGAACGCTCCTTTTTAGACGCGTTTCCAGTTCACTTAAATTCCCAGTTTATCAAACAGATTCATCCATTACAACCAATTCCTCTGCTTGTATAAATAATGGATTCAAGCAGTGCTCCCTGACCCCTTTGAGAGTCCGGCAGGGACACGTTTGTCGGAATGAGCCCTCGTCAAATATTCATTCAGCGCTTAATGTGAGCCGTTCTCCCTCGAGACCCGCTGTAAGAGATGCCTCGGTGCCTCGGCGAGAAACACCACTCTTCTACCAGAGAAATATATAGGCTACACACACTTCATTCATCTCCATCATCTCATATCGAGCTGGATTCGAGACTGACACAACAAGAACCAGCAGCGTGTTCTCGAAACTGTGTCAAACACTAAACCTGTTTGAATACATGCGCATTAATGCGAACGCAAAGCTCTTGGGCACGTGACGCCTGATATTTTACTGATATCATTCTATTTTCATTCTAATTTCCAAATCGAATTTTCACTGATTGTGAACGGTTTTTATTAGGCTATTTTAAAAACTACACTGTGAAAAAAAGTCAGTTTAATGTAATTAAAGTCGAAATGACTTAAATATCCGAGTTGAACTTTTTTCACAGTGTTTCTAATATATTTTAAAAACTCATCATATATGTTGTAGGATAGGCTACACATTATAACGAGGTGATGGTTATTTATTTATTTATATTGTTTTATAATCAACAATATAATTGCTTTTGAAAAAAAAAAGGATTGCAATTTAAAAATATGAAACGGAAATAGTTAATGCCGTTTTTAAAAATCTGCGCGCACATAATGATAATAATAATAAATGCTTGGACTCTTATAAAAATGTGAAATAAAGTTATAAAGTGAGTGACTACCTTGACGTGCGTCTTCATTTCGTTTGGGCCGTTTTATCTCCCCGAGCAGAGCAGAGATTTACAGGCAAGAAACTTAAACGCTGTCGCTCACAGTCCCTAAAAACACAGAGACGGCGTTAACTTAATGCGTTAAAAAACATTTCATTTTCTGGAATCAAACACCAGTTAACACGCAGTCATAATTCTGCACATTCACATCCAATTTACTTACTTTCAAAGAGTTGCACCCATGTGCGTGTCATCTTATTCAGACAAATAATTGTGTTTGAGTTAGAGACTGTGAATGCAAATCGTATAAGTGACAGTGAATTTAGAATGCATTGGACATTCTGACGTCAAGCCAAATGTTCGATAAAATCAAAACCAGAAACAATTTCAAATATCCAAATTTCAAAAATTTATTCATTTCAAACTGCATATTGAAAAAAAAAACTCAGATTGTAACTGTTATAATGATGTTATTAGTTAAAATATATACATGGAGCGTTGGCAACTGCGTACAGGCCACATTTTACAACTAGGAAAAATGAAAGTTTTAAAATAAAAACTTAAAATATCACAGAAAATGTACAGAAGATTTTACAAACCATGAGAAAAATAAAGAACACAAACTTCATATACCTAACAGATGAAGAGTGGGAGACCGAAAATAATCAAATCAAATGAAAAGGTCTAACCTGCGAGAGTGCCTCTGTTTGTTCTCTCATTTAGAACTTAATAATATAATAATAATTATTACTATGTACCTTCAATGAGAAACTCTTTTTATCCCGTTCTTTCGTTCAGAATTTTTGGAGCATATACTGAAGCAGTAAACATCAGTTATTGTGCCATATTTTTCTCTCTTTTTTTGTTGCACAATTGCCTTTTAATAAAAACGTAACTTCCTGCTGTTTACAAACATTACATCTGGTTGTTATTATGTTTCTTTGATAAATACTGTACAAAAAAAGTCGATTGCAATAATAAAACATTTGCTTCACTCTCCCCCCGTACTTTTTCCAAATCGCATACACCTTCTGGAATAAAACAAAAAAAAGCAAAGAAAGGCAAAGAAAAAAAAAGAACAACAGAACGACAAACTGTGTGGAGTTCCTACCGTTCCTTTTTAAATAGAAAGCAAAAGTTTTGTGTTCTTTCCTTGAGCTCTATACAACTTTCCCCTCCCCAAAAAAAGTGTTCTGTACAAAAATAGTCCAAAGGAGTCCAGCAGTGTAGAAAAGTTCTTGTTTTGTTTTTTTGTTTTTTTACATGTGCGATAGTGGGATCGTGCCGTTAATCGTCGTGCCGGGCACAGGCGCGCTCTGGTAGTGCTGGGACATGTGCAGTCTGCTCTGCGCGCTCTGGTCCTGCACCTCGGCCCCGGGCAGGTACATACTGATCATGTCCCGCAGGTCCCCCGTTTGACACTGTCCGGCCCGGGAGTGAGAGGACGACGTGACCACCGGCGGACTCGAACTGGACTCGGACTTGACCACCGAGCCCATGGAGCTCAGCGTCATTCCCGGCGTGCTTTGCTGCGAGTAGGACATGCTGTAGGTGGGCGATCCGTTCATGTAGGTCTGCGAGTTGGTCATGGAGTTGTACTGGAGCGCGCTCATGTCGTAGCGGTGCATGGACTGCATCTGCGCCGTGTTGTGCGCGTTGAGCCCCGGGTGCTGCGGGTACCCGAGCTGCTCCTGCATCATGCCGTAGCCCCCGTTGGTCCAGCCGTTCATGTGCGCGTAGCTGTCCATCCTCTGGTTGACCCCTGCGCCCAAGCCGGCCCCTACACCCACACCGGCGCCCATGGCGTTCCCGCCCGGCGCCAGGAGCCCGCCCGGCAGGGTGTACTTGTCCTTCTTCATGAGGGTCTTGGTTTTCCTCCGGGGTCTGTATTTGTAATCCGGGTGTTCCTTCATGTGGAGAGCCCGAAGGCGCTTGGCTTCGTCGATGAACGGCCGCTTCTCGCTCTCGGACAGAAGTTTCCACTCGGCCCCGAGTCGCTTGCTTATTTCCGAATTGTGCATTTTGGGGTTCTCCTGTGCCATTTTCCTCCTCTGGCCCCGCGACCACACCATGAAGGCGTTCATGGGTCTCTTGACCCGGTCCGGGCTGTTTTTCTGGTTGTTTCCTGAGGAGTTGGTGTTCCCCGTGCCCCCCGTGTTGGGCTGAGGCGCCGGGGGCTTGAGCTCGGTTTCCATCATGTTGTACATTTAAAAACGAGTTTGTGAAAGTCTTCCACACCAGCAGACCAACAAAAACCAAAACAAAAAGTCCAGAAAAATAAAAAAAAAGTGGAGGCAGCTGAAGTTACCTTAGCAGTTCTGGTAACTTTGCTGAGGAAGTCAAAGCGCTATTAGGTCCTGTTGGTTTCCACAAACTTCTTTTCTCAGTCTTGAGGAATCGACACAAACTCGGTTTCCCTCCTCGCCAGAGCCCTTGTCAACTCCTGATACTTTTTGAACAAGTTAATAGACAACCATTCATAGAGCGACTGTCAGCGAATATAAATGGGTTTGTCGCTGACCAATCAGAGCGCGTCTGCTCCCTCAGCCACGACTGTGTGTCTCTTGGATTTGCATAAGGGGGCGGAGTTACGCGCGGTCAGCAGTGCAGAGCTGAGCCACAGGCAGCACTTCTCCACCAATGAGCACTGAGCGTGTGTGTGTGTGTGTGTGTGTGTGTGTGTTATCACAGAAAGAACTAAAGTGAGAATATTTCACACAAACGACTTTCTAATCAAAGTATATTACAAGGACGGATGATCTTAAGATCCTAAACTCAAACACTGCAAGTGCAAACTTTGTGGGGTTCGTCGCTGTTTTGAAAATAAATTAACTAGCTATTAAAAAAAGAAAAATATGTTTTCTTATAATATAAGTAAAGTCTTATAATATTACAAACTTTGACTTGAATATTTCTTAAAAAAGGCGTAATGTTAAATATCATTTCGTTCTAATATTATAGGCCTATATGGTGATCACTCGCGATTGTTATTTCTATCATTCGTAGGCTACCTTTAATAAACAACTGCATTTTTTACACGTTTGAATTGTTATTTTATGTCTTCCCATTTTGGAAACAATATCCATAATATGTGGTAAAACTGTTTATAAAGTAGGCTATACTTCAAGCTGCTCAAGCTTAATGCGAATTATAAAATGGAGAGCCGTCAATCATCACAAACAGGCAGTTTTGTCTGGGCTGTTGTCATTACATCACCCTGAACAAAAGCACTACAAAAGCTGACTACACTGACCATCTGAGTTCTGAGGATTTGTGTTATTACAATCCACTCCATGAAGAGTGACAAGGGGAGAAGGACCTCCTTCAAAATAACATCCACCAACAGGACAGCCTGACGATCAGACGCTTTCATTAAACCCGAATAATAACTCATAAGAACTGTTCTTCAGGAGTTAAGAGTCGTTCATTCTTCAGCAGAAGTCGACTATAGTGCTCGACAACACGGAAAAGTGGAACTAATATGCAAACAGGATTAATGTCGGGAAAAACACGCCGGATGATTTTTTTGTGTTTGTTTTTTTCTTGTTTTTGTTCCACAATGCACGAAAGCAGATCCTATTATGTTTCAATAGCGTCCTCTTGTGGTGATGTTTATATATGAAAAGGCTCATCGTAGACACTTTCAGGATATTTCCCAGCACCACATTTACGCAGACTCTTCCATAAATTTGATTTATTAAAAAATATAGGCTACGCCTAAACTGCAAAGAGCAAACACAACAGAGAATACAGATATAGGCATATAGCGCATGTGAACGATTTTGAAATGCACCTTTAAAGGATGGATGCATGAATAAATAAACTAATAGTCAATTTCAACTTCTAAGAACGTGAGAATCTGAACACAGTGCGCCATTCTAATGCAACTCTACCCTCTCTCTCTCCCTCTCTCTCTCTCTCTCTCCCTCTCTCTCTCTCTCTCTCTCTCTCTCTCTCTCTCTCTCTCTCTCTCTCTCTCCCTCTCTCCCTCCCTCTCTCCCTCTCTCTCTCTCTCTCTCTCTCTCTCTCTCGATCTCGATCTGCATTTGAGTGCCTTAATCTGCTTATGGAAATGTGTAGACCAGCGGGGAATCTCTAACAGTGGCTCCTGCTTTGGCTAAATTGTTAATTGTCACAGTTTTTCCACAATAGTTGTGAAAAGGCAAGTCTCTTAATGCTATCTAAAATATATTTTAATGATATTCGTTCTGATATGTTTTGATGTTTTAAAATAAATAATTACCTAAGAAATCAAATTTAATAGATATTAAAAAGCTAAATAAATAATCGTAATCTGTCAAACATGATTCGAAAAATCAGTATCAATATTCCTGCATATGTTTTATCCTAACAACACGTTTAAGCTAAAGCATGTGATCTAAAAGAATAAATGAAAATAACTACCAAAAATGTTTGTCAATTATTTTATGTTTGCCAATATCAGTCCATCTTAATACATTTATACACACAGAAACAAACACAAAACATTATTTGAAAGAGAAAGTTAGATTTATTCAAGCACTAAGTCTAAAAATTAGGAGATACTAATTAGTAAGAGAGAGAGAGAGAGAGAGAGAGAGAGAGAGAGAGAGAGAGAGAGAGAGAGAGAGAGAGAGAGAGAGAGAGAGAGAGAGAGAGAGAGAGTGTGTGTGTGTTTCCTCCACTAGGGGCCGCGCTGACTGCAGATCAAAATTTGACAAATAACACACTACTTTATATGATAACGGCATCAGTTTTAATATTTCTGAAATAAAAAACGGGGACCGAAATCATAAACTTAACATATTAAAAAAAAAAAAAAAAAATATTGTAAAAACATAAACATATAACATAGCCTACAAGTTTTGAGTTTATTTGAAATGTATAAATTTGGCAGATGACATTACCATGTTAGCCTAACACATCTTTAGATTTTTTTTGTTGTTGTTGTAGCCTTATTATTACGACAATTGTGCAGATACAAACAATTTGTGTGTGTTAATTTTAGCTACTTTATTTTAACAGATATTTTAAAAATTAAAAGCCATGAAAAAACAAACAAACAAACCCGTTTTCCCCCTAAAAGTTTTCCAAACCGCCGTGAACAGTCAACAAGTAGACATCGGTGTGTGGCCAATATAAACAAATATCTTTGAATTAATAATGCAAATCAAAATTTTAAAATAATAACACGATATTAAAGCCGTTAGAATCGCTAATTAATATCCTGTCCCGGCAGACAGACACGCACAGACCATAATACCAGAGTTACTTACAGAGTTCCTCAGTTTGAGTGACAGATCCACAGTCGCGGGCGGATCCTCAGACGCGAGCCGGCGAGCAAACGCCCTTCCCCGGCGCGCTCTTCTCCAGCGCCCGCTCTCATGATCCACCAGCGTCCACTCGCGACGCTCGCCCGCCAAGAGTGCTCGCAGAGCGGCTACACTCGCCCGCCTCAGTCCCTCTACAGCTCCACACCATCTGAAAAAGGGGCCGATTGAAAAAGAAGAAGAATGCATCAAGAACAACAAAAGTCACTTATAGCAAGTCTACAAACCCCCCACCAAAACATAATGAGAAGGAGAAAGCTTTTTATATATTTTTTTTTTGTTCACTGGGTATTCAGAGATAATTTCAAGCCATTGTTTCTGGCACAGATGGCTCTTTTTAATACAATAACACTGCGAGCTCCACCAACAATAAAAATCTAAAGCCTTCTCCTGAATAACAGTTTTTTGTTCGCTCTTGTAAAGGGCCAACAAAAGCAGTCGTGAGGTAATGGGCTGGCTTTTTTCAAACGCAAAGAATGGCTATTTGATAAAGATTTTACTTCAGAAAAATACACTGCCATGTCATGTATAGCCGGGGAACATTCATTGCTTCCACATTTATCACAACAACAACAAAACACTGTAAAAAAATACATTTAAACGCATAGTAATACTATTAATATTTCCTTATCATAATCAATCAACACTGTAAAAAATATGGTCAATAGGTTATGACAACATTTGTTTTTACATTAATATAAGTAAGCACCTTTTTTTTCTACAAACAAACAAACTCATTTTTAAAGCCAGTTTAATGTAATTTAAATTGTAATGACTTACACATCCAAGTTGATTGCACTTAAAAATGTAATGCAGCAATTATTTTACACGCTGGGTTGTTTTAACCCAAATTTGGGTCAAATATGGACAAACCCAAATGTTGGGTTAAAAATGTAATTTCAATCAACTGTACTTTTTTTAATTGCATTTTTAACCCAACATTTGGGTTTGTCCATATTTGACCCAAATTTGGGTTGAACCAACCCAGCATTTTTAGAGTGCAGTGAAGGTATTTAATATAAAAGTTAACCCAGCAATTTTATGGATTCACATAATCCTAATTCAGAAAATCAACTGTACACAGTGACAAATTCCACAACAGTGGTCATGCATTCTCCACTATTCCGGTTTGCCCGTATTTGCAGTTAAACGCACTATGAATTTGCGATTGCTCCGTCCAATTACGCAATAAGATCTCAAATATCCGACGACAGAAGCCTTAAACCCAAAAGGGTGCTTTGAAGCAATGATCCAGGCCACATTCGGTGTCGGCGTCACACCCGGGCTCTGGTCGGGTCAGCGCTCTTTATCAGTTTTGACAGGGCGCTGGGGTAGAAAGGAACAAGGGGAAGACAAAAGGCCTCTGCGGGGAAAGTTGTTGGTTGGAGGCTGTGTGTTTGTCTACCTTTCTATAGGAATTATGGGCTGCCTCGTCCTCCTATACCTCCGTACTGACAGTAATCCACTGCACTGACTGTGAAGGCTTTGTCTGCTCATACAACATGGTTCAGTGTTAATCTCTACGGTGCTGCTACAAAAGAAAAGCAATAATGACTTCAATCAAAATACTACCCTGACTAATGATCCCGCAAAGGTGCAGGGGAAAAGAGAACAGATATAATAGTAATCAAAACAAAAATAACAGTAATAGTTCTGTCAAATAATTTTTGGGGGGAATAAAAAAAAAAAAAAACCCTCTCTCCTTTTTAATTGGTAATGGGATTAACAGATTTACTGCCTCGCCACAGATTGCCTTATTAAACTGATCTTATGGCTACAATCAAAGTGACGGGCGACGACCATTAAACAAATGGCGGAAATGAGTCAAAACTTACGAATCTCTGTGTCTGCAATGGTAGAATACTAATGCGTTTCAGATGGAGTCGGTCTGCATCGCTGATGTATGAATGAATGGCCGTTCATTTCCATATGCATGAGTGTGTTCTCACTGCTATTTTGTGCGCATTATGGTTACACAAGCTGAGCTTAATGGGAGGATGACACTTTAGACCCCTGTGCTCTTCCTTTTGGGCCCCGCTGAATCTGTAATCAAGGGGAAGCGTTTCAGGGTTCGAGACCTGTCAGTCACAGCCCGAGTGAACCTCCGTGTGAACTTCTTCAAGGGCTGAATGAACAGAGCTCCAGTGGGACTAGACCACCAGACACTCCCCATCCGCTATTAATGGACCATAATAACATTTATGTTATTAAATTAGCTTGTGGCCATGTTACCCAAATTGCTTAATCTGAAAAGAAAACTGGAGTAGATTGAGTAATTCACGTACTATGGGCATATAATTGATGAAATAAATGCATTTGTGTGTGTGGTTTGTGCATGCAAACAGATATCTCAAAAAGTCTAGCTTGCATTACAGGACATGCAATTATATTTTTCATTAAGAAAATTAAGCCTAGACTGTAAAAAATGTAGATTTTTAGAGAACATTTTACATTAAAAAATTTTATTTCAGTCTTTAAATCAGTGTTACTTGGCTTTTTTGTTTTTGTACATTTTTGTGAGTGAAAATAGTTTCTACACCATTTTTTAGTCTAATTTTTAGATTTTTTTTTTTTACTTTATTTAAAAAAAACCCAAAACTTTAAAATACAACAATGGTGTACAAATACTAAATTATATATAATTTAAATAATATATAATTGTTGTATTTTTTATTACAAAAAAAAAATGGAAATTTGACAATAGACAAACCGGGAATTGTCATGAAAAGGCAACGAGATTTATTTTAACGCATGCACATAAAAAAAGGGTCATTAGGGTCACAGTTGAAAAAAAAAATCATAAGGGTCCTAAAATGATTGGTTAACAAAATATAACTTTATAAAAATAAATATAAAAAGCATAATAAATAATCTAAATGCACTTAGAGTTGTTTTGGATAAAACAGCACCTGCTAAATAGATACATTTAAATGACAGTTCACATGAGATTCACCGAATTTGGTATGGTGGAAGTTGATCATAATTCACTTGAGGCAATCCATCGACGTTCTAAATAAAATGCCAAGACAGGTTTGTCCTAAAACATGCCGGATGTTTCAGTTTCCACGCTTCCGTGGTGACAACACTCCTCCAGATTAGTAAGGTGGAGCTCATCATGCTTAACTAAAGGCCTGCGATGTATTGTGTGGGATGTTTTTACATTCACATGACAGAAAATACATGTCATTCACTGAGATGATCACTTCTCTGTGTGTGATCTAACTGCTACACAGACTAAACATCCTGAAAACAGTTGAACGGCAGGAGAACACGGTATCAAAATTATCACAAGCACTTCCTCGGGTTAAAGGCACGAGCCAAGACCAAGTGATGAAAGCCTTGGGATTCATATATATATACGGCAGGTGCTGTTATCTGCAGAATAACATGGATACGGTTCAGGCTACCAGTATAGAGAGATGCCTTAGAGCTTTAAGTCCTACTTTATTTTGATTATATGTATGTGCTCTAAGTAGGAACAACAAATTGAACACCTTTATTAAGGAAGATCTCAAAGGTCAGATTCCCAGTACGACTCCAAAGACAGTATGCATATTTTTTTTTTTTAGGTATTCTGAGTTGTCTTAGGACCTCAAGGTCTTCCTGCTTTTGAAATGTTTAATTAAATGACTTTGCCTCATCATCAGGAACATGAAACGAAAGAGTGAAAGCAGGTTGCCCAACCTCCAGAACAACACAGAAGTCATTATTTGAAATTACCACCTACACCAAATAAGGTGCAAAGAACATATGGCTTATATTTACCCATCTTGTCTCGCTCCAGTTGAATTCAATTAAAAAGTGTCTGACTTGGAAATATAGAGTGCCCTGACACTAAGCTGACACACTCCGGTGCCTTATAATACACTGGATTTACCAACCTGCCTGATATCTGAATAGCCATTCATTGTCTTAACACAACAAATGCGGCGTATCATCAAGGTGCGAACAACTAAAGGCCAATTTATACTTCTGCATCGAGGGTACGCACGTAGGTGACGCCGTCGTGAGCATTTATACTTCTGCATTCAAGTCTTGGTTGCTCTGCAGTACTGCTCCGAAACACTAGTTGGCGGTGGAGGGTTTTAATGTTCCACTGTGTTTAGATTTCTCGCGGCTAGGTTACTACAAGCAATGGCGACTGAAAGAGAGCGGATCATGTTGGAGTTGGAGCTTATCGAGGTAGTGAAATTACTAAAACTAAAAGGCAGAAACGAGAGAAGACGTCGGAGGAGATGGTACGTGCGGAAATGCGTAGCATAGACATATACACTAGACCTCACCTTGGGGGTCTAAGCATGCGCCAAAACCGCCGCCATCTTGGAACAGGGGTCTTGTCATAGGAAGTAGCTAGGTAATGCTGCTATCTCTGCCTTTACTTCGAATTCATTGATGGTGGTGGACTTTTGTGCTGCGTATGATCTTCACAGATGAAATCTGAACTAGGAAGAATGTTTTAAAAAAATAATAATAATAATACATTTTTCTTTCTGGAATCAATGATAAATACATGTCTGACCGTTGGAACAAACCAAAAAAACAAGAAAAATCGCATTCATGATGATTTATGGTGATTTTATTTCCGTTAGACCTGTGTCTACTACATTGACGCTGATGCATTAAAGTGGAGGGGCTCCCCTGTTTCAAGATGGCGGCTCTATTGACGCATTCGTTCCAATGAACTGCCGTAGCCAAGGTGAGGTCTAGTGTATGTCTATGAATGCGTAGGAGGAAATGTGATGCTACCAAGCCGTCCAATCACAGATCTTGCCGTCCGCGTCGTCGTGGTGTGTAGTTACATTTTTGAAGTGGTGCGGGTCAGGCTACGGCGAAGGGTACGCGGTATGTTACGCGTCTGTGCGTATGCTACGCCGTACCTATTGCGCGCACCCTACGCAGAAGTATAAATTGGCCTTTACCCACTGGAAACCAATGGAAATTGACGCAGTTATGCTACAATGTTCTGAATGGCTGCCAGGACATATGGTGTTGCATTTTCAGGATGTTTTGGATGGTTGCTTGTTAGTCTACGTCAAAAAAGCCACATCAAGGAGTGAACAACTAACCCAATAGAAACCAATGGAAACCAATGCTTTGACACGGCCATTGCTTGGGTGTTCAAGGTGGAGTGGTTTCTAGATGACTATTTAG